CAGAGGAGATCTTAATTGTCGGGATCACGTCTAAAGAATCATATTCCTCAATTGATCTTTATTTTTAGTAAGCAATGAAACGAAGCAAGCATTATATCCGGGCTAATGACTAAGCTTTTGAGGTTACAAATAAACCCTTACTGTGTAATCTTCGCCATCGGGGTTCCCTTCATTGATTATGCACTGGTCCAAAAAACGCTACAGAGGAGAAAAGTGCTGCATGAGCTATAAATTATTAGTTCAAGTAGGCTTAAGCAAAGACGTATTCATTGAAAATATTATCATAATGGAACGGGTCTTCGAAGTTAATTTTATTTTTGGCCCGATGCAAACTGACGTGACTTCGAACCCTCTTAAAATTGAATACAAGACGTATTTATTTCATTTATTTCTTCGTAATCTAACCACTGTCAACACCTAATACATTGACTTCTGTAAAAAAAATTATGCACAAACAATGATTTTCCCTCCTTAAAGATTGATTTCCACTATCGCGTTTTGGCTATACAGGTTAACGCACGTAAATTTTAATCACGTAAATAAAAGAGACGCAAGATAGAAAGTACTGAGCTTCAACGAGAAGTTGAGCGAGGTTCAACTTTTACGCTTACGAGCGACCTTTCATGCATCGCCCTTTTTTTTGTTTGCAAACGTAAATTTTACGCACGTCCGCAAGTAAAAAATACGCGACACTGGAAATCAACCCTTGGGAAGGAGAATTAGCCCAGTTAGTTAGTTCGCGGCCTTCTGTGCGGAACTTCCCCAGTTCGATTCCCAGATGCGACCACAAATCCTTCTTTCGACTTCTTTCCTTTCCGTGTAGCTTTAAGTAGCTTTAAATACTCGTAAAAAGGAGCCCTGATTATTNGACACAAACAGGTGATTATTGTAAACATCAGAAAATGTCAAGTCTGATTGCAAAATTAACGCATTTTAATTATTAAGTTTAAAAAAGAAGGTAAAAAAGAAAGTTACCTTTAGCACCATCAGATAGTCTTGGCCTCGTTTCGGCTTTCCTTGAATGAGGGACAAATCGTAGGTTACCTGAACAAAAAAAAAAAGAAAGAACAAAACAAAAACAAAAACACTAACCTACACAAAAAGAAAACCAAACAAAGAAAACAAAACGAAAGAGAAAAGTTAAGATTTATGAGGACTTGAGAGCGGCAGAGTTAAAGGCTCGGTTACTTTACAATAATTTACTGATACTGACTCCGTAGCAAGGAAGTAAAAGAATAACTAAGAACATTACTTTGGTCATCCACACAGTGTTGTCTTAGATTCGATCTTGAGTGGATAATCCGTACAGAGGAGATCTTAATTGTCGGGATCACGTCTAAAGAATCATATTCCTCAATTGATCTTTATTTTTAGTAAGCAATGAAACGAAGCAAGCATTATATCCGGGCTAATGACTAAGCTTTTGAGGTTACAAATAAACCCTTACTGTGTAATCTTCGCCATCGGGGTTCCCTTCATTGATTATGCACTGGTCCAAAAAACGCTACAGAGGAGAAAAGTGCTGCATGAGCTATAAATTATTAGTTCAAGTAGGCTTAAGCAAAGACGTATTCATTGAAAATATTATCATAATGGAACGGGTCTTCGAAGTTAATTTTATTTTTGGCCCGATGCAAACTGACGTGACTTCGAACCCTCTTAAAATTGAATACAAGACGTATTTATTTCATTTATTTCTTCGTAATCTAACCACTGTCAACACCTAATACATTGACTTCTGTAAAAAAAATTATGCACAAACAATGATTTTCCCTCCTTAAAGATTGATTTCCACTATCGCGTTTTGGCTATACAGGTTAACGCACGTAAATTTTAATCACGTAAATAAAAGAGACGCAAGATAGAAAGTACTGAGCTTCAACGAGAAGTTGAGCGAGGTTCAACTTTTACGCTTACGAGCGACCTTTCATGCATCGCCCTTTTTTTTGTTTGCAAACGTAAATTTTACGCACGTCCGCAAGTAAAAAATACGCGACACTGGAAATCAACCCTTGGGAAGGAGAATTAGCCCAGTTAGTTAGTTCGCGGCCTTCTGTGCGGAACGTCCCCAGTTCGATTCCCAGATGCGACCACAAATCCTTCTTTCGACTTCTTTCCTTTCCGTGTAGCTTTAAGTAGCTTTAAATACTCGTAAAAAGGAGCCCTGATTATTGTTATTATTGTTATCATTATTATTATTATTTTTATTATATTTATTATTATCATCATGTTATTAAATTTAGCCTACTTTAAATCCAGTGAGGATGACCACTTTTCTTACCGTTGCAACTTCAGGAAATTTGACGACTAGAACTTGCATCTGTGACAGGTGACCTGGGGCCGATGACATTAGCAACTCTCTCCATCTGCAGAAAAAAAAAAAGTGTAAAATCTTACTACCAGTGTATGAAGTAGAAAAGCTGTTTGGCTCGTAGTCTATACAATAGATACTTGCGTGGCTAGGAGCAGTCGATGCAAGTGTAAAAGATGGCCCACTCTCTACACCTCCCGTGCTCTCTTCCCTTCTTATTCCACTGTTTTTAAGACACTCAATAGACCAAGGAAACGTATGAATGTTTATAGTCTCAATTTTCTTAAACGAAAATTATTTTCCCTTTTAAATGCGAGTTGTAGCTTTTTACCACAAGTAACTGTTCCTCCACCAGGTGTCTTAAATTGAAACTTACTAAATTTGAATAAAAACAAGAATATAATTTGATGATGCCTTTTAGATTTTAAATTATCTAATAATGAAAAAGAATGTTTGCTCACCTTTCATGACTTGCAATTGCGAGTAAGGAAGTTTTCCTTTCGGCCTCCATGGCTGCGTCCAACGCATTTTGATTTTTATTGTTCTGGAGGATCTCTTGTTCTTTACAAGCCAATAAACAGAATATTATATCTGGATGACCGTGAATAGCAGCCAAATGTAATGCAGTGTTCTAAATGAAAGAAAGTTCCTTCGTCAATTTATGTTCAAATATGTTGAGATAACCATCGGTTCAGTTAGTCACCTGTGATCTCGCTGAAGTTTTATGCAAGAGACATAATTAACAATTCGATGAAGCTCCCAAGTGACTATATTCTGCTACACAGCCGTTTTTAGTGTCGTCACGCAACGCTCCTCGTTGCGTGACGACACTAAAAACGGCTGTGTAGCAGACTACAGGTAAATATGCTAGCCACAATAAGTCAGTTGCAGCTGTCAAAAGATACCTCCGGTTATTAAATCTCTAAAAGGGCCGAAACATTGGCTCATGCAGGAAAATAAAGGGTACATATTCAAACCCATCGCTAAAACAAGAGGTTTGTTTGTAGTCCTTTAGCGCACCTTGCTTTAATATGAGTTCCAACAATTTTCCTTCTGGACCATTTGAATTATTCCATTCAGGTATCATTTATTATTATTGAATATCGCGTTACGCATGCACTAAGAATTCCAAGGAAATTTTGTTTGACAGACGGTTTTCATGCCATACTGAAGTAAAAATAACTTGCTTGGGTCCCCTAATTAATAATATTTTTCAGTGATTTAACAGCTTCTCCCCTTTGTAGTTACAGTATAGATGCAGGCTAAATTCCTGCCACTCAGGATGATCTCAGGAAGGATACAAAGTAAAGGACGAAAGAATACCCGCTTGCAAATGAAATGTGGCGTGAGCTCCAACAACAATGAAAGCGTAAAATGGATAAGAAGACGTTAAAAAATGCACTTTATCTGAATATTAATGTATTTAGCACGATTTATTTATACTAATTGGGGACACTATTTTTACGGCTCCTGGAGAGGGGACCGCCATTTTACTTGGTCATCGGAGTCACGTCAAGGTCTAGCCCCTTGCAGTGCAAGGGTAGTACCTTCATTTATCAGTTATTTTAAGACCCTGAGTGTTGGTCTGGCCTCGGGAATCGAACCCGCGACCTCCCGCTCTTTAGTCAAGCGCTCTACCAACTGAGCTAATAGGTTATAGGTTTATATCTAAGTTATAACTCAGAACTACCATCAACAGATACTAAATAGAAGGTCACCTTTGCACAGTCGCACCAAGCTTGAGTAGGAGTTCAACAACTTGGTCATGTCCTTCAGCGCATGCGAAATGCAAAGCTGTCTTTCCTTGATTGTTTTTCACATTGATTGAACGAACATTCCGGCCGGATAATAAAGCATCAACTATTTCTAGCCAACCATATCTAAAAAAATATTAATCATCAAATAAAAATTTGGAAAGTGTTGCATTGAACATCTGCACAAAATATTCCAGACCTAGTTGAATACAAAAATGATGTTGTTCATCTCTTTTTCGTGTGTATACTGAAATTGCTACGTTTCATCAATTAAAATACATCCTTTCTTGATCTGTGTTTGCGTACGTTACGTTGACATTGTTTACTCACTCTATAGCCATGCAAATAGACTTAACCTCTACTCCCTAATTAGGTCGGTCTTCAAAATGACTGATTGATTCTTTTCGTATCACCCGTAATACACGCTGTTAACTCCCCAAATTTTGTATATTGTTTTCAAATACCCACGGGAATATACAATCCCTCCAAGAGCGTTTTAAACCACGAGTTTATGCAAAGTTTAGGGAAAAGTATGTGGGACATAGTGTATTATGGGGAGAGAATACCTGGCGGCGCCGTGAAGAGCTGTGTCCAGTGCATCTGACGTCACAATAGTAGCGGCCTTATTTCTCTTCATAAACAGTAAGATGTTCTATGGGAAATAAGAAAAGCTTGTGCAAATACTCAGATGAATCAAAGAATGGTTCTCAAGTTACGAATGTCAACTGTTTCGCGCCATATATTTGGTTTAACCTATTTTGACCTGCGCTAAGTTGCAATTGAGTTAGACGTTTTACACAGCAGTCGAACTTAACTCAATAAGGTAAACCCAAATGGCAAGCTGGTTCGTCGGATGGTAAAGTTCGACGTGTAGTACCCACCTTATTTATCATTTAAGGTTCATTAAGGTGCAGGCCATCAAGAAAAAAACAAAAAAATATGTATTATAACAGCCTATAGGCCCCTTATTGGCACATTAGGATCAATGGGTGACGTAAATCGATCTTTTTACCGTTGATTGGCCATTGAAGATAACAAAGGCTCTGGCTCAGATTCTTACCTGAAGATTGCCGTATTTTGCAGCATAGTGGACTGGAGCAAACCCCGTGATATCCTTGTCAGTTATTAGTGGAATAGCTTCCCGTTTCTAGGAAAAAAAAAAGTAATTAGAGAGTTCAAGCATCACATATACGTCAAACGTCAGGTTCAAGTTTTGAATTTTCCAACATAGAAAATGAGCAGATAAAAACAGCTCAATTCTAATGGATAAAAAATCGCGTGCAACTACTAATTTATGTGTTAAAATATTGAACAGTGAACGACAAGTAAAGGGGAAACTTGGTCACATGGTACAAATTTGGCAGCACTAGAACATGGTGTATGGAATCCGGAAAAGGAAACGGAATCAGTAATCAGCAGACATCTTGGCACTGATAACCACGGAACGTTGCCATGGCAATTTTGTATCTTCACAATGAATTAATGATCTTGTATAGCTAACAGTAACAACATGAATTGTAGTGATATTTGGCATAAATACCACGAGTAATATTTCAAAATTGTTATACGTAATTTCACGAGCCCTTAGGCGAGTGAAATTTGAGACAATTTTGAAATATCACGAGTGTTATTAATGCCAAATATCACGTACAAATCATGCTATTATTTGCTTATACTACTACCCGCAAAAGGTTTGTAATTTTCACATGTAGGTATTTCAGATTAGGCTGAAATACCACCGCTCTAAGCCAATCAAAAGGCAAGAAGGGTTGTTTTTTATCATATCCAAACACCAGATCTTTTTCACTGCCCGAAATTTTCTTCACAACAGTGAGTACATTTGTTTTATTTTCTTGAATTACTAATTTGTCTGAGAAAAAAGACTTTAGTTTTTGTAGCGTCTTCTATGACTGTACTGTTAATGAAAATTCTGGAGAGACCCTCGATCTAATCTCAGTCATAATTTACATCTTCTTCTTACTCTGGTTGTCATTTTCTTAATATTTGTTACGTTTCCGTTACTGATAATTATTCGTTTCATTACGTTACCGTTAATAACACTGTCATTGTGGCAGTATGTCCCACAGCCACTCTGACACAGGATCGGAGATCAACATCTTTGGCAGTTACGTCAGCACCATTGTCAATCAAAACCTTGGCAGCCTCCGTTCCACCATTTTCAGCTGCTAAGAAGAGAGGGGTGCGACGTAGTTTGTCACGTGGATCTACCAAGGCGCCCTAAAAATCATGTTATATGATAGATATTAGCTTATCGAGAGCATAAGTATTTCCAAAATTTAGATTTCGCTGTATTCTTTAATCAACAACTTTCCTAAAGTTCTCTTGTTCATCTGGCGCTCTACCAGTAAATATCGCCATCCTTCATCGCTATCTTGTTCCGCTGCCTTCTCCATTTTATCATCATCATCATCATCATCATCATCATCATCATCATCATTATCATCATTATCATCATCACCACCACCGCCGCCGCCACTACCACCACTACCACCACCATCATCATCGTCATCATCATCATCATCATCATCACTCATCATCAACGTCATCGTTATCATCATCATCATCGTTATCATCATCATCATCATCATTATCACTCTGTGTGCATGAACTAACCTGTTCCAAGAGGTACTTTAAGACATATGGGTGATTGTTGAGAGCTGCTAGGTGTAATGGTGTCCAACCTTGTGCATCGATAAGGGTTATTCGACAAATTTTTGGATCCTTAGATGCAAACAGCTTAACTATCTCCAGGGCTCCCACAGCACATGCCAAGTGAAATGCAGTGCTCCTGTCATGATCCTGAATCAAGATTAAACAGAACTCAATCCATTTAACGAGCTTGTACTAAGAGAATATCTTCTAAAAACACCAACTATTTTTGGCAGATTCCTCTTCAACCATTCTAAGACAAGCTGATGCCGGGGATAAGTGAAAATAAAGTAAACTACGCAGTCCATATCCCCGTACGAACAAAGCGCTGTACGAAGATGGAGTCATGGGTTCTCCTACTCTCTCGCCGGCGCTCCTTTTACTTCTTTTCAGTCTTTTTTTTATTATTCTTTTTTTCTGTTTATTTTTCACAACAGGCTAAGCAGCGAATTACTAAAAGAGCCATCAGTGCGACTAGCAATATTATCAAACCTAAACGTATCAATGAATTACTGTGCTAATTAGACTTGTTTAGTTACCCTTTGCCAATTACCTTTGGTTGTCGAATGATAGATCCATTTTTAAGACAAAGTTTCACGACCTGAAACGAAGTAGAACGGTCAAACGATCAACCTTAAACGCAAGGAGGAATCGCAGTTAAAAGAAAATTGCTGATGAGAGAAACAAGTACTCACCGCACAGCTTTCACTGTCGACTGCCAAGTGGAGCAAAGTACTGCCGTCAGAGTCCACATTAGTGAGCACTTCCTTCACCATTTCTTTGTCCCTTTTTTTAGCTTTGAACGAAGCAAATATAAGTAAATAAGTACTGTAATCACCTTTAAGATTTTAATGCAAATCTTTCCCTTAAAATGTGATATTTTTCAATACAACAAATAAAATAGTAAAATCACGACTACCAACCTTTGTAGTAATGTTATAGAACCTGGAAAATTTGTTTAAAGATAACCCTCACAATCTTATATCAGGAATCATTTAACAATTGTCTCTCGAACTGGGATTTGGCAGCGTTGGTGTCTGACAATAAAAGATGAAAAGGTCTGTGTACCCCGAGGGTACACATGTAGATCTACAGAGAATCCCACATTGTCAACAAGAAGGACCTGTTTTCTCCCTAAAAACGGGACTATTTCGGTGAGAAACAGTCTTGTTTTGGGGTCTAATTTGGCTCCCTTAATCAGGGTGTCTAAAGCCCAATTACCGAGGGCTGATTTGCACCCACAGGCTGAGATGAATCCCAGCACGGGCTGAAATAGGCTTTTGATGTGGATTTAAATCATGCGGGGCTGAAAAGGATTTTTTGTCACTTTCAGTGCAGGCTGGATTAAACATTAACTTAAACATCACAATAGTTAATTCTTATTTACGGACTGAAGAATGCTTGGTTAATCACATTACTTTTTCTTTTACTGAACTGCTTACCGTCTTCAAATAATAACTCCGCAGCAGTGCAGGCTCCTTGTTCCACGGCTCGTGTCAGCGGTGTCATTTCTTCGTCATCACGACAGTCTGGAGAAGCACCGTGATCGATCTAAATAAATACAGTTGTTTGAGACTTGCGGGATGATTGTAGCAAGAGCCAAAAACATAGGAAGTAAGAGGGGAGACGAGAAAATTTTATCCCTCANGTCTAATTTGGCTCCCTTAATCAGGGTGTCTAAAGCCCAATTACCGAGGGCTGATTTGCACCCACAGGCTGAGATGAATCCCAGCACGGGCTGAAATAGGCTTTTGATGTGGATTTAAATCATGCGGGGCTGAAAAGGATTTTTTGTCACTTTCAGTGCAGGCTGGATTAAACATTAACTTAAACATCACAATAGTTAATTCTTATTTACGGACTGAAGAATGCTTGGTTAATCACATTACTTTTTCTTTTACTGAACTGCTTACCGTCTTCAAATAATAACTCCGCAGCAGTGCAGGCTCCTTGTTCCACGGCTCGTGTCAGCGGTGTCATTTCTTCGTCATCACGACAGTCTGGAGAAGCACCGTGATCGATCTAAATAAATACAGTTGTTTGAGACTTGCGGGATGATTGTAGCAAGAGCCAAAAACATAGGAAGTAAGAGGGGAGACGAGAAAATTTTATCCCTCATCTTTTAGCTTGGAGAACTCTGTCGATTTGATCACTCCCAAAGGAAAGTATCTCAGACAACTGAGGAACAGCGCTATTCAATACTGAATCTATGCGTGAATTTTAGTATCTTGTAAATACAGGGGGTGGAAACCATTTTATTTATGCTTCTGAGTGATTTAAAATAAAGAGACTCTCGGCAAGCATTTTCATAGCAAAAGTAAGAAATTGGTTCATTCTTTATGCATTATATTCGCGGGAAAAAAAGCGCGTTGGGGAGATTAGCTTTGTATGCTTGCTTGCTTTTTTTTTGAATACCTAGACGACTTCCCGCTAGCTAACCGTCCTGAGAAAGCAGCCGATAGTACGCAACGCCACCACGTTCCAAGGAACGAGTTAAGAAATTCCGTCTGACAGACGCGTCACTACCCAAATATTGGTAATGCCTCTGATTTACTGAGGCAAATTTCCTTCGCGGAATGACCACTGAGAGGCACCACCCATATCTGGGTAGTGAAAGTAACACGTCACCAATATGCATTTTTGCGTTCTTCCTTCAGACGTCACTTCATAGGGAAACCAGTGGTGGCGTTGTGGAATGTGGGTTGCCTGTTGTCTTGGGGATGCCTGTGGACATCTTCAGTAAACCTTCAATACCTCATTTGCCACTTACCAGAACTTTGCAGATAGAAACTTTGTCCATCTTAGCTGCGATGTGAAGTGGTGTCTGAGATGCTTTTCCAGTTATGTCAGTGTTGCAATCTTCTCGACTAAGAAAGGCCTGGAGAATGCACGAAAAATAGGTTCAGTTATCAGGAAAAAAAAAACGAAAAAATCAAATTGTATTCGGATTACTCTCTTTAAAGGGGCTGTTACAGTATTTGCTATATTTTAAAATGTCTTAACATAAAAAATAGTGGTTCAGGTTTGTTATGTAACACTAGGCATTGAAACTGTTTCCTCTCCTTTCTGTTGTTACGGATGGCAAGGATGCATGTGGATTGAAACTTGAAAAAGAAAGGAAAAGGATTCTTTTCAACGCGTTACCTGCAAAGTTCGATAAAAAAATATTATGGTTAGTGTTCCTTGAAAAAAACTCTGTTGGAGTAGAGTGTGCATGAATAAAGGTACTTTTATCAGTAATGACTTATGAACAAATTTGGCGTTAAAACGACAACATCCTCGTGACCTCACCCCTTCAAATACTGGCATTTTTTCTCTCAAATTTTTCGTATGCTATATATAAATATCAAAATCACACTCAGTCATACATAAGAGTGGATTTTTTAAAAGAATTGAGCGCTTGAAAGGAAAAAAAAAATTAACAAAGTCTCTTCACTTTGATTTGTTCCTTGGCTATGATGAAGCCAAAAGAAAGAAAAGAGAGCATTTATTCTGTAAAATAAATGAATAATAAAAAAAGGCTACTGTAGGTCTAGACTGAACAATTGTGTGACGCAGACGCAACGTCATTAACGTTTACCTATTGAGGAGCTAAACTCTTTCTTTTCTGCTGAGTTGTTGTTTTTTTTTTTCGAAAAATTCAGTGCAGATTGCGCAGTGCACGTGGAAGCAACAATCGGGTATATTTTGAATGCTCATTTTAGTAATCGCAATATCCCCGTACAAGCCGCTCACATAAAAAATGATATTGTGCTAGGCTAGTTTTATACTATGCAATTCCCAATCAAGGGCTTAATGTGAACATCGGCCTAAAAAAGTGCTCCATCTCTTAAGATCATATCAGGGGCCAAAAACTTCTTGGCATCCCTGTGACCCTGTGACAAGGTCTTACCTTGACAAGGTTTTCGTTCCCAGTACGAACCGCAGTATGAAGAGGTGCCTCTTGGCTCCTATCCAGAAGTGTTGTGTCAGCACCTGCCTCTAGGAGAATCTCCACTATGTTTACGTGACCTCCTAAGATGGCGTTATGGAGAGCGGTCCGTCCTGACTTGTCAAGTTGGTTAACATCTAAAAAAACAAAATAACTTTTAAAAGAAAACGGTGACGGCAGTTTTGTTGACGTTCTTTGTAGTTGAAGCAGAAATTTAGCCCTGTCTCAGCCTCGTTCCGAGGCGTTTGCCGACAAGCTTTACAGGTGACGTCACATCCGGCCGGGGACGACTGGGAACGAAGCTGGCCCTGTCTTACTTATTTTATCAATTTCTGGATTAATTGAAGTTTCTGGGTAACTGTATGACCACCTACCCCTGCACAATTTTTGCCCTAAGCGAGAGGGAAGTGTTTATGATTACTAAGGAGAGGGGTAGTTGGCCAGTTACCCAGAAACATCAATCGATATCCAATTTCTTTGTACATTTTTCCTTTCTAAATTTCATTCTATCTTGGTTTATAAACATTTTTTACAAGCACTATTTATTCTCATGCTTTTCTGTACCTTTTGGTGACTAAAGACTTTTCAAATGACATATATATTCTTGACCGCGTGCGGAGTAAAGCAATGCAGGTACATGTATATAACATTTTAGTAAAATCCAACCAGTGGTCTATTATCAATGCTGCGTTCTGATTGGTTGAGCTACTACTAGGCTATATGTTATAGCCCACTAGTAGCGAAAAGCGGGGGCTTTTTGGCGGCAATAAAGGATTAAAGTCTAGCTTTAACTAGCTAATTTCTTTTATTCTCGATATTTTTGACCAACTAGTTGGATTTTACTAAAAAAATTATTCCTCTCGCCCTCATGGCCTCTGAGTCAATAGCTCATTCGGCCTTCGGCCTCATGGGCTATTGACTCAGAGCCCATTCGGGCTCGAGGAATAATTGTTAAATAATATTTCTCGTTACCTGTTTTGTTTATCATGTTTCTAACTTCTTTTTCGTCTCCACACCAGGACGCCAGATGTAACTTGTCGGGATGCTCTACAGTTTCATCCACCTGCAAAAACGAAAGAGCATCTTAGTTATCGTTCGTCTAAACCCTGATAAATTAAGATCTGCTACCCTGTTCTGCAAAACGTTTTGCGCATGCTCCCAGTCGGAAACTCAGCACCATTCTGCGTTACTTTGCATGCCGTACTAGAGAAGTGTGAAAACCTACGCACGTTGAGTGTCACTGCTGTTAAAACTTCTCTAGATCGGCTTCTACGCTTGCACAAAAATCCTTCAGGTAAAATATGATTACAACCAAAGGCAATGTTATGCCGAACCGTTCTCAAAAAATTCAGTTTAACAAACTTCTTCAGACAAACAGACTTCTTCTCTACTACTTCATGCTTATAAACACCCAAGCTCATCTGGTAAAAATTTGCCCAACGTCACTATTTTGTGATATTTTTAATCATGTGTTAGTTCGTGTAACAACGAAACAGCTCTCGCTAAAACTTGCGAGATCAGAGCGAGAAAACTGGACGTTCTTAAAATGCAAGCCGGTTACTTCAAAAGCACGGAACTCTGTCTCAAGCATTGACTGATAACAGGCAATTACTTTCATTGATATATTTAGATTTTTCAAACATACCAGTAATTCAGCATCATTATCATCAAAGGTGGCATCAAACAAAAGGCTCCCCTCTGAATGGAGAGACAGCTGACTCAGTGCTTTGGCTCGCTGGTTCCGATTTAGGGCAGGGCTCATAGGAATCAATGGCAAATCCTCGTTACCTCTTTTCTCTGGATGTGCTTCAATGTCGTTTATGTTGTTATCCATTTTACTCTAAGGGCTTTGTAAAACAGAGATAATAACCCTACAGATCAGTTAGAGAAAAAAGAAAAGAAAGAAATTAATGGCTTTGATAGAAATATACGGTGATAAGTGGAGCTTAGCTTTCGAGCTAACCACCGCTGTATTATGAATAGAAATACCCAATATGTGTGCTAGGTGTCATGTCAACTATAGATGATAATGTGAAATAGTCATTCTACGTAGTTAACATTCAATTGAGAGTTACGCAAAATTAATGGCATTCTTTTGTTTTGTTTTTAGAACTTAGCCTGTTCACAGACCCTCTATTTTCTCTTCAAAGTCCGTCGAGCGCGCTTGTTAAAAAATAAATTTTGAACTGGTAGTGTTTGCCATAATTTGACCGTACGTGAAAATTAAGATTTGAGGCATATCAGGTATCTTGGTGTGAGTGAATATCAGACACCTTTTGGCCATTTTACGATAATTCCAGGTTATTTCAGAAGATTTCCAAAGACTACCGAAGAGTTCCGAACACTACCGAAGAACTCCGAGGACATGCCTAAGACGTCCAAAGACTACCGACTATGTTCAAGCCACAACCGACGATTTCCGAGGGGAAATCTGAAAATTTTCCAAACAAATCAGAAATGAAAAATTCTCCAAACAGTTCACAGAATTTTCGTGGGAAACAGTAAAAATTACAAATTTGGTCAATTTAACAGCAAACACTAAAAATTATGGGCAAATAACGCTTAACACTAAAGCTCACTCAGACCCTCTTCTGCGACAATTCCGGTTATTTCAGAAGATTTCTGAAGACTGCTGAGGATTCGCGAAGACTACCGAAGATTTCCAAGAACAACCGACGATTTCCGAGGGGAAGGCCGGAATTTTTTTTAAATGAAAAAAACAAAAACAAATGACAAACAAACTTAAAAACGAAAAACCCTCCAAGCAGTTAACAGTGTTTTTTTCGACAACAGTAAACATTATAAAATTGGACAATTTAACAGCAAACTCTAAAAATTAATGGGCAAATGACATTAAGCCGCATTCCGAACCAAACTTTTCGTCTTTTAGTCGAATTTCGTGGTGTATAATCAGTACACCCTCCCGTTCCCTAAACCCGAGTTTTTGTCTACAGCTCTTAACATTAGCAGTTTCGAGAGTATTCGTCTAAAGAATCAGAAGGATCGATATTACGTTTAATAGTAGGTAACATTTAAACATCTAAACAGGAGGTGAAGGTTTAAAACTAACCAAGGTCAAAATACGTTCTCTTTGCCGCGTCTTGTCCTCAAATGTCCTTTACCAGGGGCTAAATGCTCAGTGGGCTGATTGGAAAATTATAATTCTATGTTTTACCTTTTCAAACTAACTGTTTTCGTTACCAACAATGGTTTAGAGAAGTAATAACTTAAAGGGAAGGGCTAAACAGTAATATGGAACTACATGCAAATGGATTCTTTCTTTATCTAAATAAGCTACAACAAATTTACATTCAAGGATTAAACTTATCTAAGGCACACATACTCACACACACAAAAAATGTCGAACTATGCTAATCGAACTTTTGACTTCTCAATACTGAAACAGTCAAAATTAACTTCTCACCTAAAAGAATCGTCTACATGTAGATCCTACCTTGGACGCCAAAACCTGAAGATCATACAATTGTTGGCGCTTTAATAAAACAAGATTTTTATTAAACTCTTATAATTGTGTTTATAATTTAGCATCGTTTTTGAACGCGTTTTAAGACCGCCAAAGGAGATGTCTAGCCAGCACGACCAGAATTACTGTTTCAAATGATTATTTGCTATACTTCAAGTTAATCAATAATTACACTCGAGTAGCTGAAACACGCATTATGACCATTTTTATTGTTATTTTTAAGTTGTTGTCAGTATTTTATGGAACCTTGTCGCTATTGCCCTGTGGCTAAAGGAAGATTGCGAAACTCGGCGAAATAAATTACGCGAAAACTCTTTTTAAATACTGTGTACGAGAAATTAGGTACATAAGCTCAACCTTTTTTCACCTTTAACCATTAATTAAAGTTCATAAAATATCTAGGTAAAAAATTACACAGAATGTGGTTACTTTATATCCGGTCCAAGGCGTTTAGCGCTCGTTATGCCATGAGCATTGACTTTGGTTATTAAAAAAAAATTCCTACGTCTTGTGTAGTTTTTGTCATTTTTTTTTTCTTATTATATATTTTAGGTCCTTCTAATTTATTTAGACAACATAATTGACGTCGAGAATGGCTTTAATCATCTACTTGCTTATAATTATTTTATCATTTGCTTGATATTGCCATTAATGCATCGCTAATTTCGCAACTATTCAGAACAGTACCTTCAAACAAAATGCTTTTTTATTTTTCTATTTTTCTTCCTTTCTTTCCTTTTTTACCCGCATCAAAGTACGCGAAAAAGAGGATCTTGATGTTGAACAATGAAAAATTGGGAAGTGAAAAGATACAGAGATAACTGGCGACAAGCACGCATTTTCGCGAGATACTTAAGCCGAGATGATGTTAAATAATGTATGTATTTATATTAATAAATATATGTTCCAGTAAATTGAAATTTTTATACAACACGACTCCTACTTTCCCGAGTTAACTTATTAGAGGTCATTAGCCCTAGCTATGTTCAAGTTTATTTCATGTTCTCCACATGAAACATGTATTTAGCCTTTTTTTAATAACTTCACGACTTTGTTGACGACCTTATGGACCTTTCCCCCAACCTACAAAAGTACTTCACTTATTATTACTCATCGGGGGGTGGCCGGTTTTTTATATTTAACTATAATGCTCAGTGTAGCTTAGTGTTTGGCATAATTTTCAGTGTGTCAAGGTCTAATACCGTTGTGGTTTTGTAGTCCACTCAAAAGTAACCTAAAATAACCTGTAATTTAAAAACCTGAACTTATAGTTAAAAAAATTAAAATCATCTAAGTTACTCTATAACGCTTTGCTAAAAAAATATTGATTAAGTGTTGGCTCAATTTATTATGTTTTTTTTAGTTATCATTTTTGCCTTTAGTTAATAATATTTGGATTTAAAAGGGTTCGTGAATCTTCCAGCGTACATCTGTCCTAAATTTGCCACTCCAGAAAATACGGTAACATACCATAATGCTTTTTGATTGTCGCCCCAAAATTTTGCATAAGCATTGTCTTCAGTTTCTCTTGGGAGTTAAAATGACTCCAAGAGAAATTGAAAACAATGCTTATGCAGAATTTTGGGGCGACAAACAAAGAACATTATCAGTATGGTATGGTATTTCTGGAGTGGTCAATTGGCCGGCTATCTTTCTCCGCCCCGGCAGAGAGGGGGTATATACATGCCAGCGATTCTTAAAAACGAACAGCAAGAGAGATTAGGCTTGCCCTCCCTTTTTGATATTTTGGTATTTTTTCCTGTTTTTACTTAGAAATAATACTGGTAGACGTCGAGTTTCGGGATAGCTATCGAGGTACTTACCAAAATTAAACGAAAATGAATTAAAGGTATCACAAAACTGGGGCATGAGTGTCTTTTCTCCAGTTACACTATTTTAATATCTGTTTCATTGCTAATAAGTTTACGATTTGAAATATCGTACGTTTGCAATATCCAATAAGTGGAGTGAGCTGTCTAACACCCCCTTGCGCTACAGGTCAATTAATTTCACTGCTGTTGTAATTTCCATACTCGCGCTCGACGACCTCAAAACTGAAGAGAAAAGGAAGATACTGTGAATATGCTAAATATATAAGTCACCAGGCATTTTTTTCTAGAGTTGGCATTTTTAAATCACTTCGAGTCTTCGGCATGTGAATCTTTTAGAAGATTGATTAAAGTAGCCGTGTCAAAGAACCATCAGAGCAGTCCGGGGCGCCTTGTTTATGGAATAACATCTTTTCAACGTTGTAACGTTGCTTCAAGCCGCAAAAAAAATGACCTAAAGTACAAAATTCAGTTTTGTGAAAGAAATTTAACTGGTTAAAAATACTGCTATGTGGTAACAGTGTCGACAATGTCTTAGTTGAATGATCACAGGGCAGCAGGATTTGATCCACCGACCACACATGTTAAAATGAAATGAGAACACTTGTCTCGATAATTGACTTTGGGACAGAAAAGGTTAAGCCGCAAAGCAATACATTTAAACAATACCTCTGCTTGAATCGATGTACCTTTTGTTGCACTCTTAAGGTGTTCTTGTGTTAAACGATTGGAGCTCTCCCTTTTCGTTTACATCAAGACTTACTCTTTTTAGTCTACAACAAAGATAGATCATATTCATTTAATGACAATTTCAATTAAAATAGTCAAACTACGAACCGTGACTAACATGCATCACATAATCCCCGCGCCAAAAATTAAGTAAGCACAGCAGAAAAAATGGCGCCATTTTTTAGAAGACATTTGTCGTAAAAACTTTACTGAGAAGCAGCCAATTACCCACCTATAGCACCGTGCAAATGGACTCAACATTGTTGGCCAACAACTCCCAACATTGTTGGATGTCACATGTTGCGTCCGTTTGCATACCCTGTTGCATTATGTTGCGTGTTGTTAGGAGTCGTTTCATCCCTTTGCACACACTGCAGCACGGACGCAACAGAACACAACATTGTTGGCGCATTGTTGGTAATTATTGCGTCCGTTTGCACATAGCTCAGCTTNATTTGATCCACCGACCACACATGTTAAAATGAAATGAGAACACTTGTCTCGATAATTGACTTTGGGACAGAAAAGGATAAGCCGCAAAGCAATACATTTAAACAATACCTCTGCTTGAATCGATGTACCTTTTGTTGCACTCTTAAGGTGTTCTTGTGTTAAACGATTGGAGCTCTCCCTTTTCGTTTACATCAAGACTTACTCTTTTTAGTCTACAACAAAGATAGATCATATTCATTTAATAACAATTTCAATTAAAATAGTCAAACTACGAACCGTGACTAACATGCATCACATAATCCCCGCGCCAAAAATTAAGTAAGCACAGCAGAAAAAATG